AAGCTAACTTTATAGTTTCTGTGATGCAATTTTATGTTAAAGTCATTTAGACTATCAGGGTTACATCATTCAGCTTTCTGCTGTGCGTAAAGATCGGGACTCTTTCTGCTGCATGCCTCGTTTTGAGTTCAGCATCAGAGGATTCTGGGAGAAAAGATGCAGCAATAATGCACCAGAGCCGGTCGCTGTCAGTGTTTATGTTGCATCCTGTCGCCTATGGGTGCAGTCATCATTGTCAAGGTTACATTACTCAAAGTCACTGAGGGGTGAAAGCATTTCTGACCTTGGCCTGTTTACAGCTTCAGCTTCAGAGCCCGGCCAGAGCTGTTATAACGCTAAAGAAAATCATCTTTGTACGCAGAGGCAAGGCTGAAATGAGTGAGCGCCCTTTGCACTTGTATATAATCCCCATACACCAATCACTGTGCTCTGCAAATTGCACCATTTCTGTGGAAGCGACAGAAGGACAGGATTCCCGAGCAGCTCTCCGAGATTTCTCTGTCTGTCCCTGTCAGCTTGAATTTGCCGTAGCTCTGGCTGGGTGCATTCAGACCCAGGACGATGGCATTTCGAGTGCACGCGTGTGCATGAGTGTGTGCTGTCAAGGTAAATTCAGAAGCATCTTATTTATTCATGACATTCCTGCAGTTGTGCGCATGCGCAGGTGTAATGTGTGCAAGTGTGTGTGTGTCAGTCAGGAAAAACTTGTTTTCATGTCACCCACTCCATCTTCTTCTCCCCGTCTCTTCCGCTTTTCTGCTCAAGCCTCCTTTAGCTCAAGAGCCTCATTTATTCATGCTTCTGGGCCCTTGATGCCATTTTCAGCTGGCAGCCGAGCACTCCTTTTTAAAAATTAACAGAAGTCAGTCGAGTTAACCGAAATAAATTCAACACGTCATTGTCCTGCTGGGTCCGGTGCGGAATTCAAGCGTGCACCAAAATGCAAGACAGCATTGGTGTGGATAACAAGCTATAACCTGAGAGAACGTCATTAAAACATGGGCAGCAGAGCAGGGTGTGAATGGTCTTTGAAGTCTTGGTCTTCATCTTGTTTGAATAGATTCTAGTCCTGCAGGTTTTTAGTTTCTTCCCACTGCCTCGCTCTGTCACTTTGAAGTAAGGAGAAGAGTTGGTATTGTTTCCGTTATTCCAGTGTTATCCTGGTGCTTTTATTTTCACAGATACTTTTCTCTTTACTGGATCAAAGTGTTTGCTCTTTGATGCTGTTTTTTTGTTCGAGTCAGGCACATTGTCTCGCAACGAGCATCCCTTATCCCGAGGGTTTAAGTGAGGGATACCACGGCGGTGACTGGTGACTCACAAAAACCCCAAAACAACAAAAAAACTTGCTGTTTGACACTATTTGATGACTTATCAATATTTTGTTCTGCTCAAAAAAGAATTAAAGACTGTGGATGGCGGGGAACCCCGTGTTTGCAGAGTGTGCTGCTGGCAGGCTGTCCGTCCAGTGACAGGTGATGCGGCATCTGGTAATTTACATGTGGGGATATCGTCTTCAGTTAGCTTCAGTAAGGAAGGGGGAGTAGCAGGCTGTGTTCATTGGATTTGTTAAGAAAAAGCCTGGACAGTAAAATATCAACACAAATCAAGAATTGCCAATTTACAATTCATACATGCTGCTACTGTTATTACTGATTATTTGGAAAATTGTCTGTTTAGCCCATCAGACTGTGGTCAGGTTAGTCCCTGCCCAGGTAACCTTTATATAGGAAACACAGGTAACAAATTCTTCAAAAACCACCTACGACACTCATATTTGAAACAAGCCACTTTAAGCCATCTTCTTCTCTGATTGGCTGCCCCCCTTGAAAGGAAGGCTTAAGGAAGTGGTAGGAGGTTGCTGTACACCCAGCCAGAGGTTTCCTGACAGAGATGACCATATTGGGGATAAAGAACTGTCTGAAACAGTGTTCAGGAGCACTCTTATGACTAAACTTTTGGCTAACAGGAATTATTTGCACATATTGTGTTCATTATTTAAAGCTATAGCCATAATATCTTGATGCACGCGCAATCATCCAGTTAAGGAAATCCCCCAAAACTGATTCCTTTCTTCTGGACACAGTATTTTCAGTGGAACAGTTTGTCCCTCATCAAAGAGACTCCTTCAGTCATAGCTGACTGCAGGTTTCCCCAATCTTATAAACAGTACATCTGCATAATGACTGAAACCAGCACTACTAACAATGGGCTGTGAGTTCAGTTTCTTTATGGTGAAAGATGTAGCCTTGATTCAGAGATGGTCTTTCCCTTTTAAATGGCCTCCCTGACTCCAAACCAGCGTTCCTCCCTTCCAGGATATGCACATCCTCATCAAGGAAAGCGTGGCCACTAGGGTGGAATTGATAAGGATTTAACGATTCTGATTCCATTATCGATTCTCATTGGCTCCACTTTCAGAGTCACCACCATCTCTAAGCAGCGTATCAAAGACGTTACATTCATGCAAATTAATTTCATGCTGAGTGTTCAAATGTTTGTGAATTTTGTTGGTTTCCTCTCTTTGTTGTGATTAGTGACGGGGTCATTACACAAAAAAGTAATTATTGCACATATTACACAGAACACTTTTCTTAAAAGTAATGCAGCACATTCCCAAAAGTTGATTCTGATCATCTGGATGTAGCGTTTTTAGTGGGAGAAATGTTTTGTCGCTCATCTAAGTGACTACTTCAGTCTCAGCTGACTGTAGGTTTCCCCAATCTTATAAACACATGGCAAACATATGTTTCTACCTGTAGTACTCACACTTTTATGTGAAATAAGTCAAATAAAGACACACACAGCTTCAAGATCAAACACACTTGGTCAGTGTTGTCAGTGAGATTGGTCTATTGTTGAGGTTGGGTTCGTCCTGTAATCTCTTATGAACTACCTTCACTGCTTCAGCGACTGGAACACAAGTAAAGATAGATGTAACATAATATGAGACCATTGTTTCCTCCATAATTGCATCTCTCATCTTCTCAACAAAATCCAAAGTGTTGTGGATGTGGTGTTCAGAGCTGCCTACCAACAGGTTGAGGATCGAAGCCAGAAACTTTGAGGTGTTATAGGTAACTGAGTTGATCGTAGAGACAAATGGTCTTAAAGGTGCACCCTGTTTATGTATCTTCGGTAAACCATACAGACTTGGTGTAGCTTCCCCTGTGGTATGAGATCTGGTCATTGTCTGAAAAAGCCATTTGAATGAGTGACAAAACATTTCTCCCACTGAAAAATCCCACTGAATTTTTGCTATAGCCATAATGTAACTGTAATTTTTTTCTAAACTGTTTAATATCTGTCTTTATGCTAAGCTGTTATAATAACCTCCAGGCTGCAATGCTGCACTTAGACTTGAGATAATCTATCGTCTCATCTATTATCAACAGGGCAAATAAGCCAAATGTCAGCCTATTCCTTCATATAATATCCCATCAGCATTTCCCCCACCATCATGTATGATACACGCTTATCTGCACCATATGCTGCCTCCACTCACACACTCTAAAAGCCAAGACTTTTCCCTCTTTTCTCCACTGCTCCTCTTTTCTGACGCAGCTCTTTCACAAGGGCCTTAAGGCCTGATCCACTAATTTTAGCTTGGCGAGGAGGCAAAGACACAGATGGGACTCTTCTTGTTAATCTCATTTGCAAGTCTAAATTGTTTCTGTTTCTCTCCTGTGTTTTTCCATTTATCGCCTTTTACCGGCACCTTGATTGATATTGTGCAGATACGGAGCACGTGACCTGGAAATGATCGTAAACAGTGCATCATCACGCTCAGTGCTATTTACAGTGTGCATGTGTTTCTGTGCATGTGTGTGCATGTGTGTGCGTGTGCGTGTGTGTGTGTGCGTGTGTGTGTGTGTTTGAGGAAAAGAGGGAAAGAAGGACGACCTAGGGGGCTGTGATAACACGATCAGATAGGAGAGCAGGCAAACCCAACCTAACACTGGAGGCCACACACACACACACACACACACACACACACACACACACACACACACACACACACACACACACACACACGTATTACAGTCCTGCCTCATTAAGAACATGGGCAGATGCTGGACTAGTGCTTGATTACATTTGGATTAGACCATTAGTGAAATGCAGGATTAGAAGACAGAGTTGTTGTCTTGTTCACCATAATTATCTCACTTAAATCCTCCGATTTTACAGTTAAAGGAAAGTTTGACATTAGACGTCCAAATTGCTTGAAAATGACTTTCTTCTTCCTGCGCTGACAATATTTTCACCCTCCTGACCCACTGAGTGTTTTACATGATAAAGACTCAGCCGCTGTCATCAGTGGTTCAATTTTTTTTGCTTGTGACTAATGAAACATAAAGCCTCTTGAATTTATTTCCTCAGGACAAATCCATTCATATAATGGATTTCATTCATATCATTAACGCAGAAATATTTTTCAATGTGCTCGTGTGCAATGCTGTCCTTTGTCGACTATAGAGCTGACGCCTAAACATGTGATGTGGACACATTATTTGTTACAGTGTCATCATCGAGTTTCTTACTGGAGAAACTTATTATGTTGCACATCTAAACAAGTAATCACATAATGTGAAAAATATGTTCAGAAAAAAGGCAAGAGTGTTTTTATTACATGTTTATTACAGAATTAATTATTTTATGGGTGTATATATAATATTGCCGGTTTTTGGATGTGATTGAGGATGTTGCACACATCAAATACTTCTAGTTATTGTTTTATAACGTCTCTGTCTGATGGTGGCAGTTTATGATAGATGTTTTTGCTCTGATTTTTAGTGGTTTCTGATATCTAGATTAGAGGGGTTAAGAAGGGAAATGTCTACGTCCAGTCACAAGCTAAAGCAATGACACCACAAACTAGAAAGAAGAGAAAGAGGGGCGAAGCTGCTTTGGGATTAACTCTGGAGCTGATAAACTCTCTGCTCCCCACATATGACCAACTCACCCTGTTTCTCTCTTCTTTGTTTTAATGTCTCCTCCAGTGAGCAGAGTATCTGCCAGGCGCGGGCCTCTGTCATGGTCTACGATGACACCAGCAAGAAGTGGGTGCCCATCAAGCCTGGCCAGCAGGGATTCAGCCGCATCAACATCTACCACAACACTGCCAACAATACCTTCAGAGTGGTGGGAGTCAAACTGCAGGACCAGCAGGTAAGAAGTGCAGATGCTGGAGGTAAACTTGTTGCTGTGGGAGGATTGCAAATAGTCTGGATTGTGACTTGACTATACTGAAGGAGAGTGAGTGAACCAATGAAGTCTTAAAAATTTCTTCAGTCAAAGTCTGTGTGTGTGCGTGCTTCAAACCTCGTGAAATCTTAAAGCTCACCCGCCTCCGCTGTGACTTGAGTGAAATCTTCTTCACCGTCTGTCAGCCTCTCCAACGGCAACAGCTCATTAGCACTCGGCTCTTTTGCACCGCCGCAGACGTGTTTGGCGATAAGACGCGGAACACATGTAAACAGCGGGGTTATCAAGCACAGCAGTAATCAAAAACTGACAACTACAAAGATGTCTGAAAGTGGCAGAAAACCTACAAAGATTCAGAAAATGAAAATGGAGATTAAATAGCCAAAGGGATAACTTTTTCTTTTTTTGGGGGTGGTGGAATCTGGAGGATCGGAGCCTAAACCAGCTGCCATAGGACGAGAGGCTGGGGTATACCCTGGACAGGTTGTCAGGCTTTTGCAGGGCTATCAAGTATCATTTCAAAAGTTAAATATTAAACAACTCATTTAAAAAAAAGGTTAACTAACAGAACCTACGCCAGCCAGCTGATTGCATTAAGACACTAAGACTTTGACTGCTGAAGTTCAAACTGAATCAGTGTGCAACATAATGGTGACGAAAGGTAATTTAAGTGATTCTGAATATGACATGGCTATTGGTGCCAGATGGGCTGGTCTGTGTATTTCAGAAACGGCTGATTTACTCTGACAATTATCTCTAGTTCACAGTGAATGATCAGGAAGAGGAAAGAGGAAAAAAAATGGCGGTTCTCTGGGTGAAATGTGTTGTTGATGCCGCAGGTCAGACCAGAGTGGTCACTGTTTTGAGCTGAATGAAGCAAACTAAGATGACAAACTAGTGAAGGAAATAAAAACACCTGAGGAAATAACCTACAAAATAAAACAGGAAATAACACGACAAACAATACACCTTTTTCCCTCGCTGTGTGTTTATACACCTCTCTGCATTTAATTATTAGTTATTATTAATCTCTGGCTCTCTTCCACAGCACGTCTTTGTGCCGTATTCTTCCCCACGCTCCCAACTGGCTGCCCCTCCCTGAGCCTGGTTCTGCTGGAGGTTTCTTCCTGTTAAAAGGGAGTTTTTCTTTTCCACTGTTGCCAAAGCACGTGCTCATTGGGGGTCATATGATAGTTGGGGTTTTCTTTATTTTCTTTGTATTTTTTTAGGGTTGAGACTTTACAATATAAAGTGCCTTAAGGCAGTTGTCGCTGTGATTTTGCGCTATAGAAATAAAACTTAATCGAATAAACTCACTCAGTTGGATATAAAATCACACAGCAGGGACTAAGTATTAAAGAGAACACGATACAGATGTCTTCTCTTCAGATGTTACTGTTACTGTGAATTTTGGAATTAAACTCAAAAGAATTGCCCAGAGCTCGAAGAGTTAAGTAGATGTCAGTGGGTAGCTGTGGAAAAACAAGATATAAACGACAGCATTTTTTCACAGCTGTGTTTCTTCTAAGTTACAGCTCATGATGTAAGCAACATAAAAATGAGAAACACAATGACTATTACAAGCTGTGCTGCTCTCAGACACAAAAATGTTTTATCTTTACAGTGGCGCAAAACACAGCGCACTCAGAATCCACAAATCCTTCCAAACAATGCAAGTTATGACCGTGTTGTATGTCTATGGGCGCGCTGCCATCTGTGGATTTAAATCATTTTTCAGATAAAAAAAAAAAAAGAGAGAAATAACCTTGAAAAATAAAAACTCTCCGATAAAAGCGAAATACTTTCCAGTTTTTTCCTAACTGATGACTGCCTTTCCTGCATTCTCCTCTTGTCCTTCAAAGGTGGTCATCAACTACTCAATAGTGAAGGGTCTCAAGTACAACCAGGCCACACCAACCTTCCACCAGTGGAGGGACGCCAGGCAGGTCTATGGCCTCAACTTCGCCAGCAAGGAGGAGGCCACCACCTTCTCCAATGCTATGCTCTTTGCCCTCAATGTCCTCAGTGCTCAGGATGGAGGTGCGTTTTCCCACAGTACAAGACGCACACATGCACACACACTTGAGAAATGGAGGATGTCTTCTTATTTCATTTTATTACTCGATAGTTAGCTCCACTTTATTTCTCTCAGATAAGCACTCGGCACTTTTAATTCACAAAACTGGGCTGAACATGTGTGACTTAACACGGCGGGCAAAATGGTTCAAATGGGTTCAAATGTCATGTCATCATGGGTATGTGAGATTAGCTCTCTCTGAACTTTCCATGAACCAGCAGAGATGATAACCACTCCCTTACATTCTTTATGTACACGTGTAGAGTGATAGTGTGATGCAAATTAGTGTCAAGCAAAATTCAGAGTGTAGCTCTGAACAGTGGGCTGCTTAACTGCTGAAAGCTGCTGGATCATAGCCCATAAGAGTGGGCGATATAGTGGCAAAGTCATATCACAATATTTCAAGAAAATGTGTGACATTTCAGAAGATATAGGAAAGAAATACTGAATGCTTTATTGATGTTTGTAGTCATTTTAAAAAGAGCAACTTTTTCACTAAGTTGCTGCATATTTCCTTATTTTAAGTGTGAATCTATTGAAATGTGAACACAAAAGTAGCCTAGGTTGTGTTTACCCTTGAAATTTCAAAGTAAAAGTGTAAAATGACTGCTTAACACTTTAACAATAATAATAACTAAAGTTAACCTTGTAACTCTTCAGGAGCCTGTATGATTGGGTTGGGCTTTTTAATCAGCTGCTTAAAGCCTTGTTTGGCGGGCGTGGTTTGTGGCGCGGCTGAGGTGGAGGCTGACACACCTGAGGTGCATCAGCTCGTCACGCCTCCCCTGCATATAAGAGTGAAATGGGTCCTGAATGAATGTTTTTCCATTACATGTGGCTGCGAACTGAAAAGCTGCAGCCGGGAACCGTAAGAAACAAGCAACTGAGAATAAAGAAAGAAGTATGCTGAAAAGCATTGAAGTGTGGTCTTTACTGCCACGCCTTGCTTTTCTATCACATTGATAGAAAAGCAAGTATTGATACTTTGTATCTATCCTCTAAGTTCAGTATGTAGCCCACTCAACTGTGTTAAATAAATTGTTTTTTCATGAAATTAAAAAATATACCTCAAACATGCCCCTTTTTGTATTCACTTTTATTTATTGCCTAAAGCACATTTAAACAACAGAAACTGGCCTGAAGTGATTCCAGGTCTCCTACAAACCCAGTTTCAAAATACATTAAAAGTTCAAAGGTGTGTTTTGTTGTGTTAGCTAATTATTTTTGAAATTAAAAGTCACACTGATATAGTGGTCATTAAATGAGAAGCTGCTTTCCTCTTATATAAGCTGCCTTTATAGGTTGAAAGTAGTATCGGTATTGGCAATACTGACCCTGTATTCACTTGGTCACATATCATCAGCTGTTCCTATTATCTCCTCCTTTGTACCCTCCTTGCATTCAGGGTGTTTTTGCCTCGTGTGCTGAAACACTCTTTCCATTTCCATCTTTAACAGATTTCCCTGAAATATTTTGCAGAGCACTGCGATTCACTGGAAGTTGTTGAAGTAGCTCCCTTTTATGTAATAAATTGTCATCCGAGCTCTCAGATACACTTCGGCACTTCGGATATTGCAGTATATTTTTATTTCACATAGAAATTTCCACCTGTATCATTGCAGAGAATGCGATATAGCACAGACCTAACAACCGTAGACTCAGCAACGGACAGTTCAGTCAAGCTGAAATAAAAGATGTGCAGGTCTGAGACTCATGGTGAAATTACAGAAGAGGCAGGAAAGGTTTCCTGCGGGAAGTGATCTAAAAATAGTAGCCATACTTGAAGTTGTCTGGATATCACAGAAGGTTGACTCTGTTCATCTGGATGCAGAGTCTTCAGCAGGAGAAACGACAGTTTGCATATTAGCGATCATGAAGCTGACCCCGTGGCTCATTGATAGTTTTGGTTGGAATGCAGCTGCACTGTTTATAAGGTTGGGGCTGAGCCTAAATTAGTCACTTGGAGCATTGATAAAATATTTGTCACACTGAAAACTTTCTCAGTGTCTTTCAAGGGGCAATAGAGACTCTAACATCACCACATCAATCTGTCATGACATCACTTCACTGGGGGCTTAGCAATAAGATTAATTCTTTAATCTATTATAGATCAAAGATAGAGCTATCTGACATGCAGACAGACACAAATGTAATTATTTAATTAATATAAGCTGCATTTCATTGTGATCCCCACCAGGGCTTGCTGGGACACATCAGTGGAAACAGAGCTGTCGTCAGTGTTATTGGTTCCATCTGTGTTTTTCCTGCTGTAAGCCAAAACGTCTGCAAAAGGTTCTATTTAAAGACTTCAGCAGCGAGTATACATACAAGACAGGCAACCTCAATCCTCCAGAGTTCTGTGTATATGTGTGTGAGAAGAGAGACAGACAAATGTAAACTGAGGAGCGACTGAGAGGCAGAGTGACTGTCACAGCTTGCCAGTTATTACTCCAGCAGCAGCAGCGGCAGCGGCGTGCTTCCCCCTCCAGTCCCCTCCAGCCTCTTAATTAGAGTGAGTTATTGAGAAGATCTCCCTCGGGCCCCGTTCTAGAGAGCAGATCTTTTCATCTGCCTAATAACATGGGATGGGGAACAAAGAGGCTCGAGTGACAGCAGCCAAACGCAAGTGCACAAACACGTTGGGGAAGCATGTGCACATCTGACAGATAGAGAGACTGATAGCATCTCAGTGCTACCAGCTTGCCATGATACAGCGCTCACAAAGGTTGTATCATAACACACACAGATCAACTTTTATATTTACGCACAAGTGCGTGATCAAGGGGGAGAATTAGGAAATTAGTTTATTCCGGTATGTTGTTTCCTATTTTTATTTCTCAGCATGGCACAGGACCTGATTTTTGCATATCCATGCTCTCCAGCTGATTACATAAGACACGTTCACACTTTGTAAAGCTGAAACCAGAACATGGGTGTTCCTTGCTTGTGCCTAACACCCTCTAGTGGTAAGGAAGTCAAAACCTGACCTTTTGTCCTTAAAACTGAGGAGAGGATCAAAAAGGAACATATGAAACAGCCGAGCACTGTTTATTCTTATTGCTTTGAAGGCCTATTTTCTCTGGGTTTTACAGAAAGATGTAACCTGTCACTTGTAAAAAGTGATCACTGTGTAAAAGTGATAACCAAAAGTGCCAAATGAACTCATATTTTGGAAGTAAGATAGGTCATTAATGGAATAAAACAAAAATATGATTGTTTAACATTTCATAAAATGGTATTAGCCAAAATAAGCCATTTTTAAGACCTACATGTAAGACCTGACAGGTGACAAAATAAAGGGAATATTTAAACTCTCGACTCTCTATAAATAGGAGTCGTCTATTCCAGGAAGACATACAGAAAAGGATGCGAGTCATATGCTGTGGTCAGCATCCAGCCACCCAACTGAACACCTGCATTAACACTGTAAACTTTGGGGGTCACTGACCTCTCAGGCCCACCAGAGAAATCCTTGTATGATATGAAACTATTGATTGATCAACTATTGATTAAAGGGAATCACTGGAGGATGGTTTTGCACTCATCCACTAGACCTTCAGAGACTTAGCAAATCAATGCTGGGAAGTGCTGACGATGTTCTGGTGGCAGGTGGGGACGCAACTGCTTACAGAGGGCACTGGCACTGTTGTTGTTCTGGAGCTTATTAGAGCACCGGCCATTTGCTATCTTGTCACATGACACCCAAACACCAACTAAAGAATAAACTTTTGTTACTTATGTGACAAAAAAACCACTTTTGTTACTTAGTAACTCTTTATCCCCGCCCCCCACATGTTTGAGCCTTGATGTAAACCTGGAGTGCACGTGGATCATCTCGCTGTAATATTTGTGTGGCTAAGCAGCACTAGGCTGTGTAGCCTAGAGACAAAGTCGACCTTTTGAAACATTAAGCAGATATTCTCGCTGTGCTGCTGCCGCTCCTGGTGTTAGTTTCAAGAAGATGACAGATGATACTGTTGGTGAGGTAGGATGGGAGGAGGAGGGAAAGGCAGGCAGGTGAGGTGTGTGAGAGAGAGAGAGATAGTGAGGGAGATGATGAATGGAGAAGAAAAGGAGGAGGGAGAGGAAGAGGAGCTGAAGGCAAGAGATGGTTAGGAGGGAGTGGGTCTGTCAGTGCCTCTGTGTTTGCTGCAGCCGGTTTCTCTTCTTCAGCATGTCGTGTAGGTAAAAAAAACTGTGTGTGCAAACATCTGCATGACAATTCTGATTTTGAGTTTGTGTGTGTAGTTTTTGTGTGTTAATGGCTATTATTGTGTTATTATAATCCAGTAAATGGCAGAGTCAGTCAGGAATCATTAGCTGAATAAGGTAAACAAACTCAAATGGAACATATATTGGAATATTTAAACCAGTTAAAGCAGTGCAATACTCTGTTGTAGAGCGTGGCCTTTTTCAAACATGTAGAATAGCTTTTGTGTTAGTAACCCCTCCCTAAACCTGGTTCTGCTGGAGGTTTCTTCCTGTTAAAAGGGGGTTTTCCTTCCCACTGTCACCAAGTGCTTGCTCACCGGGTGTTGTCTGATTGTTGGGTTTTTTCTGTATGTAGGGTCTTTGCGTTACAATATAAAGCACATTAAGGCAACTGTTGTTGTGATTTGCTGCTGTATAAATAAAATTGAATTGAATTGAACTTGGCAGGCTCTGTTACTCACTCATCTAGTAGAAATAAATCCAACTAAACATCTCTTTTGAGTCCTCTATCCTCTATCAGTCGATAGGGTCGTTTTTCTCTTCAATACATTCTGAAATCAACATTTTACTTTTGCAGTGATCGTGTCATGGCACTTGGCCCACGACCCAGTTTTTTTTATGTATTTTAGTTTTATTCTTGGATTATTGTATGTTCTCAGTGTCATCATCACCAGTGTGTGAATGTGTGTGTGAATGGGTGGATGACTGGATATGTAAAGCGCTTTGGGGTCCTTAGGGACTAGTAAAGCGCTATATAAATACAGGCCATTTACCAATTTGTCAACCAAAAACTGCTGGTTTGAGGTTCAGTTCAATTCAATGCTGTAAAGGTCCAAAGCTCTCGATTTACATATTGATCTACGTCCCTACCCTTACCTATGGTCATTAACTCTGGGTAGTGACCAAAAGAACGAGATCGCAGAAATGAACTGCATCTGAAGGGCAGCTGGCCTCTCTTTTAGAGGACATCGAAAGGAGTTCAGCAGGTCACTATAATACACATAAAGCTCTGTCTGTGTGCTGGTTTGGTTGTCTGCCAGCTCCTTCCCTGAAGGTTCTTATCTACATCAGATATTGTGATGTCTTCATGTTGCCTAGCAACTACATAGCAGTCAGCTAAAGTAACCTGTTTTTAGCATTTATGAACCTGTAACACCTTATAGAAGCACCATATGATTTTTATATCATTACAGTAACATCTCACTTATAGCTTTAAAACTTCAGGTATATATTATGATGCCGTCAGGTTGCCCATCAGCCACTTAGCATTGGGCTAAAATTGTTTACATTGTTTGCTTATATGACACGTGATAAAAATGCATTTTAATTTCACATGCAACACCACAAACAGGCCAAGCATGCACGGGCATTTATTAGTAAATTAAATTTTGTTGGGTCTAAACCTGTTCTGGACAAAACCTGGATTCTAAAAATATAACATTAGGATCTAAGATGAAACACCATGCATGTGTGTAGGACAGGTGTCTGATAGCAGCCATGACTCAAAGCTTTTGCCATCGTTGTATTTTTGGGTTTCTGTTACTTGATCAATAGCAGCCATTAGCACCATCAGCCAGAGTCTATTCCATTAGAGGTGTGAGCAGTGGAGAGAATCGTCAGTGAGCAGTGACCCTGAAAACAGGCTGACTATGTAGAGCCATAAAACTGTTATGTAAGGGACATCTTTACGTAGACAAAAGGGAACATGGTCTATAGAGTTTTATGCCTATTTCAAACACTTTTACAACTCTTGATTAGATTTAAAGGGAAGTGATCATAAATCAACCAAAAAGTAACCAAAAAACACCACAAGATTCCTCCTTACTTACTTCCTTAATCCAGAGGAATTCAGTCATGAGAACATCCTTGACATTGACATCTGATTTAATTGTAAACCCCAAGTTGAAGTCTTATCATGTGTTCAATTAATTGCATTTCCTTTCTGGCTCTATCTGCAGATCTCACTTATGGTAGTAAAAGGATTAGATACCAAAAGCCTTGTAGCTCAGACAATAATGACTCTCGCATACAGTATATTTGATTTTGAGCCTCATCCACCAAAGGAGATGCCACAATGGTTTGTTTTTACTGAGTTTGTAACCACAGCTGACAGAATTTCCTCTGTTCTCAGTTAGGTTCATCTGTTTAGAAAGAGCAGCTCAGACACTCTCCAGACCTCGCTCAGCCACTCTGTTTCTAGTTTTGGTGATTCATAAACCCGTCGGCAAGTTGTATTTCACCCCAGAAGTACTCGTGGGGCTCTGGCTGACATTTGTTTGTGCGCTTGCATGTGTTTGTGCTCATATTGACATTTGTGTGAATTTAAAAATTTAAGAGAAGGCCGCTCTCAGATGTCGCCTCACTGCAGCATTACGAATCAAATGACTTGTCTCTAAAAGAGCGCAGGAGTAAACAGAAGGACAGCGTTGCAGCAGGACATCTTCTGCTCCCCTTCAACAGTAAAAGTGCATGAATGAGTTTAAGCTCATTTACATGAAGTCGGGGATTATCATGCTTTTCACTGCACATTACTTATTATGGAAATGAGACAACATAATGATCAGTCGCTGTTACGTTCCTTGTGATTTTATAGTTAATTATCTTGACTGGCACTAATTTTAACTGACATAATAGTGCTGATAATGAAACATTAAGGTCAACTTCACTCTATTTGTGTCTTTTTCTTTCTTTCTGTTTTCATTTGCATCTTTAGGTCCAGCTCTCCAGCGCCAAGTCCAGAATGGACCGACTTCAGATGAGATAGAAGCTCAGAGAGCAAGGTATCATTTAAAAAAGACGTTTTCTCCTTCTTTGCAAGGCAGTCTATGTAACATGAACCCCTGTTAGCAGATTATTTATTTGTTTATTTTTAAGCCCACCTTGTCTGGCAGCTTTTGCAATCAGAAAAATGATCTGAATGAACTGTGGTGCCAAAAAAGTGGGAGAAAATTAGTATCTTGTCATCCATGAGAAGAATATTTTTAGTGAAGGATCACAGGCTCTTGTGAACTGAAGCAAAACTCATCCCTCCCCTCCTCTTATGTCCTCTGTATAACTCCTACCTTCCAGTGGGTCACAATGATAAAGACTGAAAGTTTTACAGTAATGGCTAAAACACAAGTAGTCCCCGTTTTCTAAATCATAGTGGCAGATTAAAATATACAAAGTAGTGGATAAGCAGTATTCAAAATGACCCTTAAGGCCATTTCCACGGTTTACACTGTGGCTTGCCTTTCTTCCACTGCGCCTGCTGTTCCTCTCTCCACTTCAGAGACGGACTCGGACACAACGAGGTCTTTGTTGCTGTTTTTAAACTTATTTCAGCTCCGCCTGCTGGTTCATCTAAATGCCGAATGCCAGTACTTAAGAGAACAAATATGAAGGGAATTATGGCTCTGTCTGATCCCCATGTCGGATGAACTGTTCCTCTGCCACAAAGGATTATGTCTGCGATTGTGAGGGGAGATTGCGTGCGTTTGCGTCCTGGTCAGCGGAAGCAAATTAATTTCAGAGAACCGTTGTTTACTAAGCACCTCTGCTCCTGCTGTGCGCACGCTGCTGTCACATCAGACAGGTTGCTGCCTCAGATGTCACATCGCATATCTCCTCAAATCAAAGACAGAGATGTAATGAGATAGGTGGGATAAAGATCGAGGAGAAAAGTGATGTTGGCTTGGATGAATGAGGAGCAGGAGATGGGCACACTGCATGATATAAGACACAAAAACTTGTTTACTTACTAAAACGCAGGTGAAGAACAAATCAGGAATGATCTGATAGTTCAGGAGGCATTCATCAGCACCTTCATAATTAGCCCTAATCAAGGGCTGTACAGTAGATGATTATTTATTAAAGACCCAGCTGGAAGATAATTCTGGCTCATTGGGTAATAATTATTCAATAATTATCTGTCAATATAATATAGCTCTTCACTTTCTTTATGAGTCATTAATTAATAACTAATACAAAGCCATTCATGTGTCTTATTAAGCAGATCTCAGTGGATCCTCATTACCTCGCTATTACCTCAAATAAAGTGAATGCTTAGTAGTAATTCATTTGTTCCTCTGGAAAGTGCAGAGCAATTAAGTTATTGGGGGATTATTTGTGAAATCAGGTATTTCTGAGTCAATTTTTTTAGTAAGCAAGCAGGTTTTTGTGTCCATCTTTGTTAAGTGTTACCATGTTGGGATGTGAATTCAAACCTCTGACTCACGGTGACAGCATGCGAGAAAAACTCACCATCTGCTAGAGCTTGAGTGCAGTTCGTACAGTGGTCTCATTAGACTTTATACTAAACAACAGCAATTAAGGTAGTGACTTTTAGTTAAAACTCCAAAGAAAAACATGTTTCAAATAATTACACTATTTTTTGTGTTGTTTTGCCTCATTTCCGATGTGATTCCAAAGAGCTCACCTGGGCCACGCACTGTTTCCTATGCCCAGAGTTACCAAATGAAAACAGACAGACACTAACAAAGACTCAATGGCAGGGAAGGACTATTTATACACACATTATGTAATCATAGGAAGCGGACACATCAGGTTAATGAGACACGGCTGGAACCAATCAAGGTAATTACACATGAGAAGTAAAAGAGACACAAACTAACAAAGTAAACCAGGAAGAAACTAACTAAATACTGAGCCACTAACTAACTCATACACACACACACAGCAATACTGGGGGTGGTGGGAGAAATAAACCAAAATACAGGGAATCAGATATAAGCAACAAACTCTAAACGCTAACAGAAACTACCTTTCCAGTTTAACAATAGCTAAACACCAAGTATCCTTAAAAACTAAACATCATCATATAGAAACCAACAAGAAAATGCATATTATGTAGATGAGAATACAAAACTTAATAGGAACTCAAAATCCTGGAATGATAATGAAACAAACATGAAACTAAACTATAAATAAATTTAAAAAAAAGAAACTATAGTAGAACCCATCCCATAATCTAAATGTTATAGAAGAATACCAAACTCCAAACCCAGGGGCTGTGACAGAAACTACCTGACACAAACGATGATTATGACTTAAGAAGAAATATCCCAAAAGAACGTGTGGAGCTTTAATATCTGATAAATATTGGATCAAGCAGTTGGAACATTTGAAATCAAAACCTAATTCCGATCCTAGCGCATCTTTGAGGCAAGTGGACATTTCTCTGTCTATTACTGTGCGATGGTTTTCTGAACTTTTCCTGTAGGTGGGTAAATTGTCAGATTTTAGGACAAGATTTGACATGTTTGATATTAAGTGAGCAGCTGTGATCCTTCTTGTCTCTGCAGGCAAATGATGGAGCAACAGCAGCAGCAGATGCAGGCGCACATGGAGCGGGAGCGACGGTCCTCCAACTCAGGTACTCACACGAAGTGCACAGGTCAGCTAAAGTTCAGCTGGTAAAAATAGTTCTTTCATTCAATTTAAAAATGGTCCGCGTCTTCGCCTAAGTGCATCTGAACCCACACAGGTGTAAGTGCGGATAAATATTGCACAAAGCGACTGAGTTTCAATCACTCGCTGCACTTTTCCTCTAGGTTCTCCTTTCCAAGGCCATCCTGCTGTGCTCTCCGTTGCCCCACCAGTAGTACCTCCACCGGTGATCATGGGCGGCCCACCTCCTCCTCCACCACCGCCAGGCCCGCCGCCACCGTCAGCAGGGGCGCCGCAACCTCCTCTCCCTCCTCCACTGCCCTTAGGCGGAGGAAGCCACGGGGATGAGACCTCTGCGCCGACAGGTCTTGCGGCTATGATTGCTGGAGCCAAACTACGCCGTGTTCAAAGAGTGAGGCAACACTTTATGATGTTTGGGTGAAATTTCTGTAAACCATGCGGGATATAGCTGGATTATCTCCTTCAGATTTGACTGACATACTTTAAAATGTTCATGATTTGCACATATCAGGGAGTAACCCACAGTTGTCGTTTTTTTTCCTCTGCTTTCTTCAGCCTGATGACAGCTCTTCAGGTGCCAAAAATGAAGCTAACCGAACAAGTGGGGGGAGTGGAGGACTGATGGAGGAGATGAATGCTCTGTTGGCACGAAGGTCAGATCAATACAGGCCGAAGGTCTTTTTCTCTCACATACTGTTGCTATATTAGATACAACTGGTCACTGAAATCTTTAGTTTTTTGTTTAGTTCATTCTGGAATTTCAATGAAATTCCTTTTTCTCACTTGAGGCTTCTTCTTTCCTCCAGAAGGAAAGCAGCTTCAGAGAAGCCCGAGGACAGCCAAAATGTAAGTGCGTGCGAAACGGAGATGGTTTGCAATTCATGAAGCTGAGCACTGCTCGCTCTGTGATTTATGGTGATAATTAGGGTAACGGTTTAGGCAGGGATCAGGATAATGTTGATGCTGATTATATAAGGGTGATAATGATCATTGTTATCATTTGTGTTGTGATGGAAACATCGAGAAATGATGATAAAAGCTCAGTAATAATCATTAATCACAAGGAAATCAGATTAAAGAAGCCTGGTTTCACACAGGTGAGACTGATATTTGCAGAATATTCTGCATCAAACTGCTGGCTCGCTAACGAGGATAATAGCATTTGTGGTATTGTGAGTGATGCTTACCGATTTCATTGTGCTTCTCTAGGATGACCCAAATTCTCCGTCGCCCAGCACTCGGAGTGGACAGAACGCAACGGGTGAGAAAACTAAACGCAGTTACGTCTGTGAAGGTTCTCAGTCATCCAGGTCATTGTAGTCAAAGGAGCTTGCAAAGAAAAGCGTCTGGACTTCTTTAACCCTGGAGAAACCATGGGGTCAAATTTGACCCCATGGTTTCCCTAGTAAACCAATGGGGTCGGATCTGACCCCATGGGTTCTCCAGGGTTAAGTTGCTTGAAGACGTTTCACCTCTCATCCGAGAAGCTTCTTCAGTTCTAAGGTCAAATGGTGGGGAGTCCCAGATTTAAACCTAGTGGGAGTGTCCCCCCACAGAGGGACGAAAGGACCCCCTGATGATCCTCTAATCGCCTGAGCCAAGGTGAAGAAGCTTCTCGGATGAGAGGTGAAACGTCTTCAAGCAACTTAAAGAAGTCCAGACGCTTTTCTTTGCAAGCTCCTTTGACTAAACGCAGTTACAAACCACGTTTGAAACACATGAAAAAGGTGTGGGATGGAAAAGTAAAAATATTAGAAGCAGATCCACAAACATTTCTAAGAGAAAGAAAAAAAATAACTTTTAACATGTACAGAAGTTTGGAATTAAGTTTTTTTTGTTTTTAAATAGACACTCACCACTTCATTAGTTACACCAGTACTGGGTTTGATCTCCTTTTGCCTTCAGAACTGAAGGTGCTGAACACGGTGCTGATATCGACATGATACTAACAACTCATTACAGCGTGTTTAACATCGCTTTATTGTCACGGAGCTATTTTGGTTTTATTTAGGTGTGGTATCATCGTTTCTCATGATAGTAGAACTATTACAAGTTTTTAAAAATCCTGATAGCAAATGGGATTTCAGAGCAATGATAAATCCAGAAATGCATGTATGACTTTTTTTCTCTCTCGTTTTTTTATCTGATCTTTTTCCTTTGTCGTCTAGACGGAGCAAAGAAGCCCTGGGACCGAGCAAACTCTGCAGACAGGGCAATGGCGTCGAGGTGAGAAAGGGAATCCCCGCTGCTTGTCACTGTGAAGCAATACAGTAACAGCTAGTGTGACAGAGAATTATTTTGTGTTACGCAGAGCACGACCTGCGGGGAGTGGTGGCGACACAGACTCGTTAGACCTCGATAGAATGAAACAGGTAAAGAAAGCATTACCCAGCAAAATGTTTTGCTATTTTGTTAAAAGTATAAGCTCGTTTCCACGGTAAAGCAATCAATTGGTGATGTTTTACGAGTTACCCGTTTGTGCTTCAACAGGAAATATTGGAAGAGGTGTTTCGTGAATTGCACAAAGTGAAGGACGAAATCATCGATGGTAGGTTGGTTTAATCTTCTCTTGAAAACCTGAGGAGGATCATTTACTCTCTCCTAATTCATGTTAATGAATATTTAAAAGGAAGCCTATCCAGCGGAATTGTGGGAGTTTGATAGTTATACACATGTGTAACCACTAGGTTGCACTAGATTCACAGAAAAGTACAAATGGATTTAAAACATCAAACTCTACAAAAGCAGTATCATGAATATTTGAATTTGTTACTTTCACAAGAAAAAGATGAATCCCTTTAAGACATTATAATAATAATAATAATAATAACTATTAGTACTATTTTTGTTGTCGTTATGTGCTAATCTGTTTAATATTATCCCAATAAGTTTACCATTGCTCACCAAGAGGATATACATTGCTAAATTGCACATCAACTCTTAAATAGCCTACATGCATAATATTTAACATTTGACATTTAGTGACATCAGCACGTTTATTAAATAATATCTAGAGAATGTTATAATAAAAGTCTCAGTAGACAATAACAGTGTTGATTAACTAAAAGGTTTTCTAAGTACAATGTAAGAACACATGCATGACAGATTGAAGGTATGTTGGCTATAAGATTATTATAGTATACTAAGATTAAGTGAAAATTTAAACTGGAGGCAAAGAAAATTAATTTTAGTTAAGTGGGGAAAAATTAGCTGAAATCGTATTCTGTACTTACAAAACTACTTATGAACTACTACTGTACTTACAAAATAAAATAAGATACAGAGGAAAAATAAAATAGTTTTAGTATCAGGAGACTTTGCGGCAATTTTTTTTCACAGCTTTGATGTGTCCGTGGTAAACAAAAAAGAAAAAAAACTTCTTGTGTCTGTATAGCAGAATCTATTCTGCAACTTCTTAATTAACTTCTTCATTTTTCTCATGAATTACAAACAAAATTAAGACTAAAACTAATAAGCAGATTATCAATACATTAACATACCAAAAACAATTCTATACAAGTACCATATCATTGTATATCATATAAAGCATTGTAATAAAAACCTAGCAAAAATACAACATAATAATGGTAATTGAATAAACACTGGCTTCTGTGTTTTTAGGAATAAAAGAGCAGCTGAGAGCAGCTTCTTCTGTTAGTTTAACTATCTAAAAATCCACTACATATGGCATTCAGTACACAAATAGGCCAAAGTATTCACAATAATAACAATGGTGAAATATCCCACAGAATAATTACATTCAAAAAATATATTGATGTAAGTAAAATCACTAAGTAACTTTTTATGTTTTACTTTGTTTGGCAATGTTAAAGTGTTAAAGTCTGTAGTGTAGCTGTGCAAGAGCAACAACACAGGATGAGTAGAAAATGATCAGATTTACTCAAAGATGTGTAAAGGTGTCCAGTGGTGAAGATGTGTTGGGAAATGTAACCTGTACTAATATTTTAAGCTTAACAAATTAAAAAACTAATTTAAAAAGGTAGAAATGAAATTAATGCACATATGAGTTTTGAATTGTATCAGTTTTGCTATTTTTGTGCAGGTTATTGCTCACAGTAGCGCTGCATGTGTCTGACAGTATACATCAGTTTTGTCAGGAAGCAAAAATAAACCACACTGATGATGTAGAGCTCTCAAATATGACACACTTTTTTCTCTCTCCTTACAGCCATTAGACATGAACTCAGTCGAGTTAGCACAACATAATCTTTCAGCGCGACCCCCCCTCCCAGACGTGAGCCACCTTTTTTTCAAACCATTGCTCCTGCAGCAGCTGCTGGGGCCCTAAAGAAGAAGAGGAGGAGGAGGCGGAGTCAGGACGGGAGGCCCAAACTGTGACATCTACTCATCACGTTCAGCTGCGGTGTTGAAGCACTGGTGCAAACGTTGCTGTAACACCTCAGACGTGTCTGTGTAACATTTGATTTGTTTGTTTCTGAGAGGAATACGTGAATGGGGCGCACTCTCGCACCAGTTGCTCTCATTTCTTTGTCTGTTTGTTTGCCCAGTTCTCTCCTCTGTCTTTGGTCCAAAGGATATTTGATGCTATGATTTTAATTGCTTTACTTTTTCACAGATTTTTTAAATCGTCATTACTGTCACTTTCATTATTATTCCTATCATTCTTATGATTGTAAGCGTGATGTCAGTAATGAGTAATAGTAGTAGGGTAGTAGGGGCAATGGTAATAATGAGGAAATAATAATGAGAATATGATAGTAATGATAATGTGGATATAATATTGCACATCACTTTATGTCAGTGTTTTAAATTTTATATCGGTTGTTTTCATTTTGTTGTTTTCTTTGTTTTTTTTAGATGCATTTGCGAGATCATCCTCTTTTTTCTCTTCACCTGATATAAAATATTTTTTAAAGATTTTTTATCCTTTTCACAGTTATGTGTGGAACCATGGCAGAAAAAAAACAAGACAAAACATAAAAAACAGACCTTGAACTGAAACCAATGTTGGAGTAAACACAAATTTTGGATATTGCAATCTTATGAAATCCAAAAAAATAAACACTAAAAAAAGAGAAAATAATAAAAATAATTAAATACACCCGAGTATTTGTGATCATGTTGTTAATGAAATGTTTATTGGCTGCAAGGATATGGTGAAGTATTGTTCATTTTATTTTCTCCTTTTACGACAAAGTGCTTCCTGGTTTGAGAACAACGACAAAAAACAAAAAAAATATAACGGAAGTTTAAAATGAATTGAAATAAACTGTAAAACACGTCTTGGATAAATGAGGTGGTCTCTTTCCTTTTGTGTGTTTGTTTTGCTTCTTTGCAGTTTTTGTCTGCTGTCATTGAAACAGGTGCCATAAATTACTGCTGCTGAAACACATGTGAGCGCTTTTGTGCAGTCTCAGTGTGTTTTTAAAGTGCACATTTGTGTAGCCTGTTTGTGTAATGAATGCCCCTGCAGAGATATTCAGTCAACGATCAGTTATGTGATACAGTTTTTACATATGATTTGGTGATGAGACCATCCACAATTCAACCACTGGAGTGTGACGTGTTCCTTAAAGACCACATTTACAAAATACAGTATTCACTAAATATTATTACTATCATTATATGAAGATTGCTTTTTAAAACCTTTCATAGTGAGCTGTGTAGTTATTTTCACATCTTTGTTTATATTGCTGTGTTTTCAAAAGAATGAATCAACCCACATAAAAAGCCCATCAAGACACAACATGAACTGCAGGGTTGTTGTTCACTGATAAAACTTCATATAACTTCTGAGTGCAAACACCGCACCAGCTGCTACACCACGGCTGTCCAAGCCGCTGTACTCGACACGTTCTGATTAGTGAGGCCAGCAGGTGTGAAGGACCACTTTGTTCTCATCGCTCAAACATATACACTCACCCGCTTGTTACAGCCACGGTGCACAAAAGAGCATCTCTGAACACACAACGCATCAAGCCTTGAAGAAGATGGGCCAGAGCAGCATATAAAGACACCTGATGTCACTAGTCAGATACAAACAGGAAACTTAGACTACGGTTTGCAAAGGCTCAAGACTGGATGTATGCTTGAGGTCACAGGTTACAGAGCTAGAAATCTCAATATATCTTATATTTTTATATTTTATTTTGTTGGGTTATTTTTTATACTTAAAAAAAACAAACAAACAAAATTCATTTGTGATGTATAGTTGATAAAGTTAAACCAGGAAAAAATATAAATATCACCTATGCCCATCAAAAACACATTTTTTTTAAGTTGCCTATTTTGTTTGTTGCCCTTTTTAAAGTACATTTGGGATCTCCTCGCTCTACCCAGTGATTTGCTGTATTTTAGAAGCAATTATCATTTGATTAATGTTGCATAAATCAGGTGAGGTTCAGAGATATTTGCAGTAATATTAGCACAAGTGAAACTATGCATTTGTCATAGTATTAATAACAACACAAATTATTATTATTATTAATAATGATAATAAATTGTCACCCTGTTTGTGCAACTAAACCAGAAACTGTGTATAACCTCATGTTTACGAACTTTGGGAACCCCCACTATCGCTAGTAGCACTGTTATCGCTGGGTTCAGTGAAGTCTCGCGATGTTTCCTTGTGACAGAGGATAGTGGCGACGAGAACTGGCGTGGGACGGAGTGAAGAGAGTTGTTATCGAAGAGGGAGAAGAGACAGCGGCAGGAGCAGAGCAGGGGGTGTGTGAGTGTGTTTGTGAGGTCCTAAAAGGAGCACAACACGGCGTGAATGAGAGAGACAAGCTGGCGAATTTCAACATGGCATCCGGAGATACGCTGTACATTGAGACAGACGGCTCGGAGATGCCGGCCGAGATTGTGGAGCTCCACGAGATAGAGGTAGAGACGATACCGGTGGAAACTATCGAGACCACGGTGGTCGGCGGGGATGACGACGACGACGACGACGACGGGCAACCCATGATCGCGCTCCAGCCACTGGTCACGGACGACCCCAGCTCGATCCACCACCACCAGGAGGTTATCCTAGTCCAGACCCGGGAGGAGGTGGTCGGTGGGGATGACTCGGATCTGCATACGGACGGCGGTGGAGGGTTTGAGGACCAGATCCTCATCCCGGTGCCGGCTCCTGGGGTGGAGGACGAGTATATTGAGCAGACTTTAGTGACTGTGGCTGGGAAGAGCTCAGTGGGTCGGGTGAAACGAGGAGGCGGCACTGGTGGGAAGAAAGCGGGCAAAAAGAGCTATTTAAGCGGCGCTGAGGCCGGCGGAAGAAAATGGGAACAGAAGCAGGTGCAAATAAAGACACTGGAGGGGGAATTTTCTGTTACAATGTGGGCATCGGGTAAGTAACCTTAGCCTAGCTGTGTTTTAACAGCTCCGTTGTTAGCCGTTGCATGAGGCCTCATTACCAGGGCGTTGTCCTGCTGCACCAGACTAGTTCCTGGAGTGCTCCGCCGCACCTCCATGAGAAGCGACGTGTAACACAATTTTTCGATCCAAACCCCCGCTGTAGTATATCGAAATGTTTTTGTTTTGAAGGGAGGCCATGTTTTAGGTGTTGCTGGGCGCCGCCATATTCCCCGAGACGAGTAAGTATGGCGGCGGCCCCGAAAAAATGGCGATAGTCGTGGCCAGGCAGAGATGGCGGCGGTGCTCGGGGGAGTGAGAGAGAAGCAGCTGGGTTTCGGGGGGTTTTCTTCTCTTTAGGCCGCGAAATTGTGGCACTTTAAATGCACAAAAGCAACTGATACAGTGCCTAGGTGTCTACTGTGTGATATTCGCTTATATTATGAGTCGGGAGCTGTTTAGCAGTTAGCTCTGGCTGCTGTTGCTGCTAGTTAACCAGACAGCTCTGCTTCTGCATAAGGCTAGCTCCATTAGGCTAGGTGCAGAGTGATACTGAGCAGGTGGGAATTTATAATCGCATAAAAGGCTTTTATGGGCTAAACGAGAGCTCATATTATCTGTGCCTGTGATTTATATTACACAAACTATATAAAGAACTGTTTATCAGAATAACTTTTAGCAATATACTTGTCTACATGTTTTCTGAGTGGACACCGCAGTCATCTATTTTTAGTGCTCTCTGCTGGTTGGTAGTGAGTAGGAGTCATTTACACACATGCACATCTTATTTGCACGCTTATCTTGTTATGTGTTTGTGTGTTAGTGTCTCTTTGTGTTTGTGTGTTTTATGTCATTTGAATTATTTTTGTTTAACATATTTCAAACATGGAATTAATTCCCAGTTTGCATAATCTCTTGAAAACAAAACTATTGTAAACAAGATACTTATTTGAATTAAGAAAAAAATAACAAGTTAAAGTTTGCAAAGTAAAGGTAGCCATATGGTGAATAACAGGTAAACACCCTAATGTGAATATGTGCTTTTATATTCATTTCTCCTGGGTAATTATATTTTAAAAAAAAACCCAGGGGGCACATGTTTCCAGCCTCCTGAGGCTTGTAGCCAGGGTAACACCAATATGTTATCGGTTCAGTCTCTGTAATGTGTTTCTAGATGATAATAAAGACATTGACCATGAATCGGTGGTGGAGGAGCAGATTGTTGGGGAGAACTCTCCTCCGGATTACTCCGAGTACATGACGGGGAAGAAGCTGCCCCCTGGTGGTATCCCGGGGATCGACCTTTCAGACCCAAAACAGCTGGCTGAGTTTGCCAGGTGAGTGTGTGTGTGCCAGCACCCCTGCGTCAGTCATCCCCAGCTGTAAACAGACCTGTTTACACTGTCCACACAGTTCTGATGAATATGCACAACAATACCGCTGCTGCTCACGAATGCCATGAGTCTGAAAGGTCAAAAACACACAGGGTAAATTTTAGCTGCACTCTGCTAAACTCTGGAGTTTTTTTCCTTAGTTTTCCTCCCAAGAATTAAAATGTCAAGGTTTGGTTACAAAATGTAATTAGGATTTAATAACTGTGTCAGGTATTACACAAACATGCCTTGTGATTATTTTCTCTGTTTAATGTTTGTGCACAAGTGGATTAGGCCATGTGTAGAGTGTTTACTGGAGAAGCTAGGATGTTGTTACTAAATCAGACCAAAGAGAGGCTTTCTGTTTACCCTTATTATATTGTGTTTTATTATGAATTGACGATTAATTGATCACAAAAGCCCGTGGTGCACTATTCAGTGTCTAGTGGGTCATTTTGTGAGGTTTTTCTTTTTTTAAATTAATTGTTTGTTATTGCCTAACAATGTCTAGTTGATTTTCTTATTCTATCAAAACAGTGCAACAGTTAACACTGAAGGAGTTGTTTCTTTTTTGTGTTTAGTTTAGTTACTTATTTGCAAAGAACAATGATAATGCTGTGGTATATTATTTACCAGGTCTAAGAAGTTTATAATGGTGAGACTAATTGCTGTGAAATCAGTGCGCTGACGTTTACTTAACTGTTGATATCAGTCTGTTTTAATCTCTGTTGATGTTTCAGTTGTCCCTTTTAGTTGAGTTTTTTGTTGTTGTTTTTTGACTCTGTGTCTCAAAAACCATGATAAGGTGTTTAAAAGGCCTGTAAATATTACATTAGTTGGATTTTACTTTAAGCGTACCAGTGTTTATTTGTAAATAGATGTATACCTGTAATTGGTCTTGCTGTTTTCGTTATGTGTGTCTTTTAAATGCGTTTAAATGTCCTTTAGGAGTCAAGTTAATCAATAATCTGGTGTAACCTGGACCTGTAGATAACACAGGAGCTTATTTCTTTATTTTTTTTTATTTGCAGAATGAAACCCAGGAAAGTCAAAGAGGACGATGCCCCCCGCACGATAGCTTGCCCTCATAAAGTGAGTTCATTGATGTGTCCCTCCTTGTCACTGTTCTGGCCATCACTCCTGATGGGTTTAAAAGTCTTGCACTTTGTTGCTTTCCGTGTAATTGGAAATTTCACTGAAGGTTATTTAAAAGCACTTGAGTGTATTGATTTTTATGCGTGCACTAGAACAATCAGGCCTTATCTGAATTAGCTAATGTAAATGGGTTTTGTTCGCTCCGTGAGCTGCTTGCTACTTCAGTGTGAGGCTTTTAAGAGTACATTATCACTTCAGGAGAGAATAGGGGCACTCTTACTCTATCCCACTGTTTTTCACAATTTAAAGATGTGTCAGAGAAACTGCAGAAAATGCTGAGCTCCCTTTAAGCATGCATTAGCAGAGAAAACCTGAACCTTGCTGCAAAGCACCTTACTAACTGCTTCTTCGCTCCTTCAGGGCTGCACAAAGATGTTCAGGGATAACTCGGCCATGAG